GATGGGCCGGAATATACACACCATGAGCAGATGGGCCGGAATATTCACATCATGACCACATGGGCCAGGAATAGAGATGACAGTTCAGTTGATCTTCCGTGGCAGAACACAACGCTCCAGTCGATCCTGTGTTATTACATACACTGCCATCCGTTGTGGTTTTGGTACACTATATTAGAAAATCAACTTACTTACAGATTATGAGTGTTTATGAGAAATTTGTTATGCCTGCCACAACCTCAGCAACTGAGCTTGGTTATTAGCAAGCTCATTCCCCTGATGATTAAGCACTGGGCCAGCACTTCAAAACTACAATATTTAGGAAATGAGCGCCACAACGCGGACAAACCAGCATATACCACAAGGCCAACTTCAAAAGAGTACACAAATGTCATTGCCAATGTCTGACATGTACACACCATCCTGTCTGAACAAACCTGTCGCCCATGTTAATATCAATGTGCCCGAGAACACGTCCGAGGTCTAGGACACCTTTCCCACCGAATCCAGTAAATCTCTTCCTTTTGCGCTCTGTCACTCGGCCGTCTTGTATACCCCGCCATGTGACACTCAGCAGAACATCTGACCATATGACACGTGCGTAGGGCATCATGCGATGGATTTTTGTAAACATCTCGACTCACCATCTGCAGTAAAACTGTGCTTGGCACATCACTGCGGTCATTACCTCCCAAATGAAGGAGAAGCCAAGCTGGTGGAGGACTGCCTTATTTTTGGCTGTAGAAATGGCAGCAATGAGCTCAACTTCATTCCTCTTGTCCCATACCATGTTCCGCTGAGTCTATACTCCTGTAGACCCAAGTCCAATCCAACTGGCCTTGCAACTGCTCTCCGGTGAGCCCAGTAGATGAGACTGGAGCCGACGAGGCACACTTCTGTCAACAAAGAGCTGTTGCAACATATTTCTGCGACTGTACTTAACATATGCAACAGAGGAACAGCTACCCAATGTGTGAAGTAGCTTGTGTGGTATTCCCCGTGTTACTGCATACGTATTGGCTTCAACTCTGAAATTTCAACTTCAATGAATGTGTGTTGTAGTAACTGATATCTGGTGACAGCTTTACCATTCAAATGGATGAAGAACTGCACTGGTTGGGCTGAGAGTGAAGACAGATTAGTCACCTGACTGGGCAAATTGCAGTTTTTGATTTATCTGAGATTGTGCCATTCTTCGAAAAACGAATATTGATGTGCACTGTTTGTACAATGATACCGACATCTGACAATTTCTGTCCTGTCCTCGTTCATTTTCGACACTATCACCGTGTCACCAATCCGTAAGAATGAAAAAGAAGCCAAATTAAGCATGGTGGCTAAAAAAAGAAGACGTTTTATAAGCTGATGAAAGAACAGCCTGGAAGGCACCAGGTAGTCTCTTAAACATGTCAGTTATGATTGAGTGTCTAGCGTCAGATTGCGACACCAGAGTATTTCTGTATCCCTGCATGTATTTGCAAACGAAATAGTTGTCAGTAGGGCAGTATTAATTCTGGTGATGTCTGGCAAGAGTTGAGAGATCCTAAGCTATATCTGAGCTTGAGAACTTCATGATCATACTGGCGATGTAACATAACGTATCACATGCGGATGCAGTCCAAATCAGAGGAATTTTATCTTCTTGACGAAATTTGTCAAATAACCTTAAAGCAGCTGCGTCGGTGGTGTCCTCCCATTAGTTAGACAGCCAGTTGTTAGACACCTTAAAATAACAACTTTTCTGGTTGAGTGCACAACAAAGTGCAATGCTGTTACCTTGATTGATAATGAAATGACCCATAGCTAAACATCAAGATATAACAAAACAAAATGACGTGTTAAGTCAGATGTACTTATTTTATAAACGTTCATCTCAGATTTGGCTGTTACATCAGATGTATATACACATATATTAAATTTAATCATGATATGTACACGTCATACCCGGTTCATCCTGTTGTCAGACTAAGGTCTTTAGGCAAGTTTCAGGAGGTGGCCCACAGCATCTAAAAACTGAACTGGAGTCTTCTGACCAAGGCGTAGATGGTCTTTCAATCTGATGATCCGGTGGTCGATCTCGCGATACACTCGCTTGTGGCTGGGTGGTGCTGCTCCAAAGTTGACCTGGACGAGTTTGCTTCTTTCCGCATGTTCAATACGTCTGACGACCTCTGAAGGAAGGCAGAAGGGGTATCTCGTTGTCATCTTCTTGTGCTAGCTGGTCATTGTAGAGGGAGTGCATCTTGGTTGTTTCTTCACGGGCGCGCTTTCGAAGTGTGCTGAGGAATTTGAGGTTGTTGACATGTTCTGGTGGATGGTTGTGCTCAGTCTGGTTCCGGAGGAAGTCGTCACTTGTCGGGTATCTATCAGTGCAGGTCTTGATAACACACCTCCAGTGGGTGCTGGTCTGTCTTTCTCGATTTCGGTTGTAGAGATATCCATCCAGAAGAATCTGAGGTGTGCCTCTCTGTGACATAATATATTCCACTTTCTTTAACCAAGACATTCTGATAATGCTACCATGATCTGCCAGTAATAATATTTATATCACAGTTGGTTAAACTGAGTAGACTCTGACAAATTTATAGTAAAAGATTAATTGTTTTATATTAAGAATGTTATTATAACAAGCAGCTAAGTGAAAGTGTAACTTGAGTCGTAGTCTAGTTGAGAAGTTCTTCATTTCCACAAGTTTTAAAGATCAAACACTACATATTGGATTAACATAATAACCTATTATCAGAGTACAACATGCAACTGGAGTAGCAATCTAGTAAATAACTATAACAATAAATAAGTAGAAAATAAGTAGAGAAAGATCAAACAATGAACCTTAAGACATGCCTAATTTGTTCACTGAGTAGGACTGTACCATTTTTATGGGTACTACTTTAATTAATCCCCTACTTCAGTGTCTGACAACTGGCTGTCTAACAACTGGCTGTCTAACTAATGGGAGATAACCGCGTCGGTTTGTTAAAATGGCTCGACACTAATGCTGTTATCACCACAAAGGCCTCAAAATTTACATAAGCCACAGATTCCTGGGTACTGGTGTCGGTTTGGGTCTGGCGTTTGGACTCAGCTGACGAAACCTCTGAAGACCAAAACGAGATAAGGAATCTGACTGCTGGTATAGTTAACTGCATTCAGACTGTATCGAGTTGAAATCAGTGGGGTTGGTGTTACTGTTACGGATACAAAAACGTGTGTTGTGATTAAATGATTGTACTTGGGGTGGTGATGGTGGGGGTACGAGTATTTGGGGTATCTAAGCCAATCACTACGTGACATCACGCATTGTCGAATACATGAGGTAATACATCACCTGATCCGTTCGACGGGCGACTATGTCCAGGAAACGGTGGTTGGCGCCATGTTGTCTCGACCAAAGGGCTGAAAACTTCGATATTCGTTGATTTGTTGACTGGGTCCCATTTCCGAGATGATCTCTGGTCACTGGGTGCTTGAACATTCCGTTTCCTCGTTCTCCGACCTGACATCGTCCCCATACCAAGCTTACCTTAAGATAATACCCGAAAAAGTAAAAACAGATACACGTTTTTATTATATACTTCAGTGTAAAAGTCTGAGTTTTCTGAAATTAAAAGAGGTGATGTATCCATTGCAGTGAACATAACACTTGATATTTCACTGCAGTGAACATAACACTTGATATTTCGCTGCAGTGAACATAAAATTTTATATTTCACTGCAGTGAACATAACAATTTGACGGAACTATTGTCATACAAGAGTTACCTTCCCGCAAATTGTCTCTCTTTATCGTAAGTGTCTGGCCCGTACACTTCCTTTTTACATTTGTTTCAAATTGACAACGCAAAATAATGATAGATGGTCATTTATGGAGTTAATATCGGTTCTTGCCGTTTATTATTCTCTTGAAAATACTTCGTTATAAACTGTAAGTGTCTCATTTAACTCGTCAATCGAGACTATTCGTTTCGCAAAGCGCCATTTTCGTTACTTGACCAGCGTGTATTCTCTCGCTGCCAACAGCGGTCTCGTAGATTTCAAGAATTTATTTTTGTTGAAGTTGATTTTGTATACTGTCATTACCAAATGTAAGATAATTTATGATAAAACGTTTTCGTTACCGTAGATACTTTTTGTTACTTTTGTATTTATTTTTTAAGATTTTGCAAACACGGAACTACTTTTTAAGTCGCAAATGGAGAATGGGGTGGAGAAACGTCCATGTGTGTTAGGTAGGGAGAATTTACGTTTGAAAGTTGTAAATTTGTAACGAAATAATTTATTTTTCCGGTAGACAACTACACAAAAGTATATAATAAATAATAAATAATATATTCCATGTATCTAGTGAAATATCATGTATCTCTCATCTCGTGACAGGGGAAAAGGAGATGTTGGCGTAGCTCGTGAAAATATCTCTTTTCCCTCCGACACTGAATGAGAGAAATATAACATTTCACTTGACACATGAAATATCCTCTATGTCCTGAATGTTGGTGTGCGCGGAAAGAGGCTTGACCCAGCCGCGAGGGTCACGTGACCGGGTGATGATTTCACTACACATTGGTGTAAGGGAGGCAACTCCACTGAGCTGTAGTGGGCTGCATTGCAATCACTTAACAAATTTGTTTCATACTGGCTTTCACCAATACTATATCTATTTTTACGCCCAACGGAATTTGCTTTGGCAGATACTCGAGGCTGAATGTTCTCTAGCATTGACGATTTACACAAATGTATAATTTCAAAAGTCATTCAGGCTCAAGTCTTCATTTGTAGTATTGGATTGGGTTGGTCAAGGTGAATCTCTACCGGCTTCGAGTCAGCGGCAATGGGCTTTTTCATATGCAATAGAAAAGAATAACATTGTTCATACTCCCCCTCGCCTACACGCATAGACGAGTGATTTGATTATATGAGTTGTCATACATTAATAGTCAAAAGGTGCTTAGGCATGCCTTAACTGGTAACACCTGATATTAAATGTCATTGTATCTATTTCAGCTTGAAGGACATCTATTTCAGACGTTGATCACACCTACAGTGAAAAGTCAACCATGCCTTGTGAGTACAATGTTATTTAAATCACCTGCGCCATTACTCTTATTTCGTTTGTTATAAGTTAGTGTTTCACATTAACCATTCCGTGTTTTGGTTTCCCCATTAAAACGTCTGGGCTTCCGCCAAGTGTAACGAAGCAGCAGTGTTTGTCTTTATTGGCGCTGAGTGTTTTGTTTACCTTGAAATGCAGTGTAGAATTAGAATCTGCGTCATGTAATATCATGAACGATAATACTACTTTTTAAAGTAAACATATGAAGGATTTACATATTGTTAAATATGTATGTACCAATTTTAGCAAAGATGGGATTAATATTTAAATGTTCTTGTGTTGTCTGTTTGCGAGATGTGTATATGTCTCTGACATACCATGCCGCAGTTTAACATGAATACCCCACTCAGACACAGTATACTGACCCCGAGCCGACCAGTCCATGTTTTAGCCCCTTAATGCCGAGCGCCAGACAGGGTAACAACAAGTGCCATCTTTTAACATCTTTTTATGACGCGGCCGGGGATCGAACCCCGGAACTTCCGCTCTCCGGGCTGACGCTCTACCACTAGACCACGAAGGCGGTCCTAACTGAAGGCAATGGGCCAAGACGTAGTAATAAGAAACTGGATTAGGGAGGTTAACCCCAAGGCCAGACGCCCTTTGGCTGTTCTTGGTTGTTATACTTAGCGAGGTGAACGCTCGTAGCAAGGTTAAGGCCAGTCGCCCTTTGGCTGTTCTTTGTTGTTATACTTAGCGAGGTGAACGCTCGTAGCAAGGTAAAGGCCAGTCGGCCTTTGGCTGTTATTTGTTGTTATACTTAGCGAGGTGAACGCTCGTAGCAAGGTAAAGGCCAGACGCCCTTTGGCTGTTCTTTTTTGTTATACTTAGCGAGGTGAACGCTCGTAGCAAGGTAAAGGCCAGTCGGCCTTTGGCTGTTATTTGTTGTTATACTTAGCGAGGTGAACGCTCGTAGCAAGGTAAAGGCCAAACGCCCTTTGGCTGTTCTTTGTTGTTATACTTAGCGAGGTGAACGCTCGTAGCAAGGTAAAGGCCAGACGCCCTTTGGCTGTTCTTTGTTGTTATACTTAGCGAGGTGAATGCTCGTAGCAAGGTTAAGGCCAGTCGCCCTTTGGCTGTTCTTTGTTGTTATACTTAGCGAGGGGAATGCTCGTAGCAAGGTAAAGGCCAGTCGCCCTTTGGCTGTTCTTTGTTGTTATACTTAGCGAGGTGAACGCTCGTAGCAAGGTAAAGGCCAGACGCCCTTTGGCTGTTGTTTGTTGTTATACTTAGCGAGGTGAACGCTCGTAGCAAGGTAAAGGCCAGTCGCCCTTTGGCTGTTCTTTGTTGTTATACTTAGCGAGGTGAACGCTCGTAGCAAGGTAAAGGCCAGACGCCCTTTGGCTGTTGTTTGTTGTTATACTTAGCGAGGTGAACGCTCGTAGCAAGGTAAAGGCCAGTCGCCCTTTGGCTGTTATTTGTTGTTATTCTTAGCGAGGTGAATGCTCGTAGCAAGGTTAAGGCCAGTCGCCCTTTGGCTGTTCTTTGTTGTTATACTTACCAACCTTTTCATGAAAATGTAGGCTAAACACAACTAAAGTTTTCCATATGTTTCCTGATATGAAAATTTGACAAATTAATCTGTTTCGAAAAACGTAAAGTTCCATGACAAAAAATGGATTGCTTTGAGTTTGTAGTATGGCCAAGGGTACCGCTCAACAAAATGATCTTTGCTTTAACAAGCATGGGATTGCTTTTGGAATGTGATACATTAAGTTGGACGGGATCTCAAGTTGAGTTTCAGAGTGTGCGTAATAGCAGCTTGACATGTTATTAGTTTTTGTTTGATGTTTAACACCACACTCAGCAATATTCCGGCCATTCAATGACGCCTTTGTAAATACATCGAGTCTGAAGCAGACAATCGCGAGATCGATACTATGAGCAACGGTTCAGTAACTGAAGGCATGACAACGATCTAAACCATTGCCAAGTAACATAACACCTAATGTCATAGTAAAATTAATTTAATCTCGATTGTGTCGAAGGGCGAGGTCGGAGGCTACATTTTTACCATAATAGGTTGAGTGAAATATAGTCATCCACTAGACCACTGAGGCGGTTTCCTTTGTGAATAAAAACGACAAAACTCTTTCCATACGCATAAGAAATCTCTGTTAAAAGCAGAGTCGATTGTACATGAGAAATGTGGTAGAACCTACAGTGACCCAAGCATTCATGCAGTTGTTCACCGTGATGACCTAATGGACACAGGACCATCCCTGATCAACATTGGACCAACAGACCACTGTCTCTATGATTTGAGCTTGAACGTGTGTGTGCGTGTGTGCGCGTGCGTGCGTGTGCGTGCGTCTGTGTGTGTGTGTGTGTGTGTGTGTGTGTGTGTGTGTGTGAGTGAGTGAGGTGAGTGAGATGTACACTTGACGTGTAGAGGACTTTACGTGCACTCATACAAAAACACTTATACAACATACTCCTATGAACATTTAGTAAAGTAATTTATTTATTATCTGCGCCAATAAGAGAGTGTGTGTCAGTGTAACGGGAGAGAAAAGCTTGAAGTAATGCAGGTCTCAGATCTATCACTTTGGTGAAACGGCGAGCACGGGTATGGTGCTGACAAACTTAATCGGGATGAACCGGTATACAAACCCACAATCATAAGCTTATTGTGTGCACAAGGGACGCAACTCAGCAAAGCGATGTGCGGCGCTCAGACGAGTGGACCACCCGTAGCCCCGTCAATAAAAGAAGTCACATGCCATTCTGTACATAACTACAAAAGCATATTACTGTAATCTAGAGGATGAATACATAGAAGATATTTAATGTGTCGAGTGAAATATCATGTTTCTGTCATCTCGTGACGAGGGAGAGAAGATATTTTTACGAGATGAGAGATACATGATATTTTAAGAGACACATGGAATATCCTATTTATTGTATACTTTTTGTGTTGTTGTCTACCGGAAATGTCATTATTTTATTACAAATGTAAAACCTTGAAACGTAAATTCTCTCAACCTAACACACGGGGACGGATTTCCACCCCTTGTATTTGCAACTACAAAAAGTAGTTTTGTGTTTGCAAAATCTTAAAGAAAATATAAAAGTAACAACATATATTTAAGGGCACGAAAATTCTGAATCATACATAAAGATATGATTATATACAAAATAAACCTTAAAACACATACTTGATACCTACCAAACCGCTGTTGGAAGCGAAAGAATACAAGCTGGTCATGTAACAAAAATGGCGCTTTGTCAAACGTACAGTCTCGATTGACGAGTTAAGTGAAAAAGTTAATGTGTATAACGAAACATTTCAAGAGAATAACAAACAGCATGAAGCGATATTAAATAGCTATCTGTCATTATTTTTGCCATGTCAAGGTGGAACTAACGGTAAAAGGAAGTTAACTGTTTGTGTGCGGACACTTACGATAAAGGGAGACAATTTGAGGGGAGGTCACTCTTGTATGACAATAGTTCCGTCAAAGTGTTACGTTCATAGCAGGGAAATATCAAGCGTTATGTTCCCTGCAGTGAAATGTCAATTGTTATGTTCACTACAATGAAAATATTACTTTTCTCAACTTCGGAAAACTCAGTCTTGCACACTGAAGTAAATAATAAATCGCGAATCGTGTCTTATGACAGAAACACAGATCCACAGAGAAAATAAGTTAATTTATGCCATCGTCGCTTTTATATTTCAGCATTAAGGGCGATTTTAAACAAAAAAATGAAAGTGTTGTATTTGCATTCCTTAAAGTTCTCATTTCTGATGATCCGTGTGTCAGAATATTTAACCACTTCTGCACCTTTGTCTGAATCATGTTCTTCCTCTGCCCTCTCATGTTGGGGACGAGGCTGACGACGTCCACAACGCCCTCTGTCTTTGCCTGTTCCCCAAGACTCTTGATAGCTATGTGCAATGGCCATGGTTCAGCTTATTCAAATCTATGTTTCAGCCTTATCTCGGACGTACAATGAGATACAATGCAGCCCGTGTAAGTCTTTATTCTGAGTTTTATGTTTATTTGATTTTTGACGCCGCACTCAGCAATATTCAAGCTATATGACCGCGGTCTGTAAATAATCGAGTCTGGACCAGACAATCCAGTGATTGACATCATGAACATCGATCTAAGCAATTCGGATACGATGACATGCATCAACCAAGTCAGCGAGCTTGCCACACGATCCCATTAGTCGCCGTTTACGACAATCATAGTCCCCTATTAGCTACCTATTGTAACCCGGATAATCAGGCAAGACTCTAAGCTGTGTGACCGTATGGATAATGCACTTTGAGAATTGAGTCAATCTAGGACGTTTTTTCAAAGTATACTTGCGAAAATGTTATTTGAATGCCCATACATTGTTTTTATAACGATTTTGTGTTATTGTACTGAATTCTATTAATCTCCTCTCATACTTTCATGATTTGAATAATGATTGTTCAAATTGTTTTTCAGCAACCACAGCCGTCACCGCCATGATAAGCCTTGTCCTTCCATTCGCCATGGTAGCTATGGGTAAGATAATGTTACAAGCTATCTCGTATGTCAACCATTTTCAACGTAGCACGCATTCAATCTTGAGTAACATTATTGTGCCAAGAACGGATGAATGTGCTTTCCAAACAGTGGGTGAGTTGGGTTTAACGCCGCGTTCACAGTATTCAAGTTATTTCACGGCGTGTCAGCTTAATGTGGGAGGAAAGCCCAAAATGATGCAGGTCTCAGACGTTTACCACTTCGATGAAACCCACGAGAACGGGTATGGTGCTGACACCCTGGAAACATAATCGGGGCGAACCGGGATTCTAACCTACAATCATAGGTTTCTGGCGTGCCCAAGGGACGCAACTCTGCACAGCGAATCGCGGCGCCTGAGACGACTGGGCCACAGTTAAAGGGACCCTGTGTTACACATCCTGGTGTATAAATCCAGTCTGGGTCTAGACATCATAACTAGCGCCTTAAGTGAAATTGTCATGTTGAATTAGGAGTGAATCATCAACCGCTTTATTGATATAAACTTGAGGTAGCGGACATATCCTGTATTTGAGGGTCTTGAATAACACTTGCTTGGACTGCCATTTTGTTAAAACTGTAGCCCCCCTTTAAAACAGTTTCTCCGTTCAACGAGAACATTTTATAAATACATGTAACTTCTATAGAGCCACATCACATTGAGTTCGGTTCAGTTCAGTGACCTGTAGGATTGCGTCATATCACGTTAGTGCCAATGCTGATCTATAAGAATGCATGTTCCTTAATTCCAGGAACCATTCACATGGATAATTGTCCTGCTGAAAAGTACATTCCTATCTACCTGATCGTGGGAGGATCCTTCACCATCCTCGTCGTTGCAGTGCGCGTCTTGGTGAAGATATGTTGCTCTGGTGAAGGGAACACCTTTCTCTTTGACCTCATCTCCATCATCATAAATCTCGTCTTAGGTCTTTTCATGTTTGCCTGGTTTATTGCAGGTAACATATTTAAGATCGTTTTCCACACCAATGAAACAATTAAATATATTATGTCTCTGTTGATAAAAATGTGGATAGACCCGTGAGGATCCGGGTTAGAATTGATCTGTAACAACTTGCACGTGCTTGTCGTAAGAGGCGTCTAACGGGATCGGGTGGTCAGGCATTCTGACTTGGTTGATGCATGTCATCGTATTCCATTGCGTAGATCGAAGTTCATGATGTCAATCACTGCATTGTGTGGTCCAGACTCGTTTATTTACAGACCGCCACCATATAGCTGGAATAATGCTGAGTGCGGCGTTAAAAACCAAACATACTAAACAAATGGAAAGCTTAATCTTTAGCCTGCTGAATTGTTTTAGCATTAGGCGTGTAAAGAGGGTGGGTTATTTCAAACAGTCCGTGTTGCATTAAACAAAGGCCCATTGAAAAAATATTTTTGCACATTTATTCCTGATAGAAAACTACACATTACTTTGTAAAAAGTGTCTGATGTTTTCAATAATACCAAGGTTAAGACCAACAGCGAACACAAAATTTGTAAATTTCGTGAACTTGCCTCAATTACGTTATTGAAGGAGGTTTACGTTTCATGTTAGGAACCTTTTTGAATTGTTAAATTTGTGCAAATTGATTTCAATAATCTTATCTCCGATATCTTAATTTTAACTCAATATAAATTCGATGTTTTTTTATTGGCAAATAACAGTGCGATGGTTAATTATGGACCATTTCAGTAAATTTAGTATCCAAACGTTAAACAGAAAAAAACGCAATTTTCGAGGTCATCATGTCGGTTGCAGAAATACGAACATTCGGGTTAATCTAACGTGTCACGTTATAAAATTTGCAGGAAACAATTAATGACTCATAAATATTCACCTATCCTAATTTCAAATGTTTTGGTGGAATATTTGCGATATACAAAAATACAAATCCCGTGTCATGATGCATGCAGACGTTGGAAAATCGACCTCGGCATAACTTATTGCTATTTGAATATCAACAAAGTTTACATTGTCTTCATATATATGCCTTGGCGAATGTTGACGATGTTCTCAATTGGAGAATGTTTCATTTGTCATTTTTCGTTTAATATGACAAAAGAAAAACAAAAAAATATTCGTCTATAGATATAATCGATCGGCAATGATCACTCTCAACAACAGGTGCGCGAAAATAGGCGTGACAAAACGTGTTTCAAAATAGCATTCATGCGATGCCGAATATGATAGGATATACACAAGCGTGTGATGTATAAATCAATAAAATACTACAGACATATTTTCAGTGTTAGTTTCTAATTAAATGTCGGATAGTTGAAGAAAATGTCCTTTTATAATACATTAATCGATTCTAGCATCATTTTAGAACAATTTCACGGAGCATTTTAATTGTTTTCCATAAATAGAAAGACCGCCATGATTCCATATTGATGATAGATTTGTTTATGTTTAATTGCTTACAGCTGTTCAGAGCTTCTTAAATAATTATGATTTTTATGATTAGTAGCTATTTTCCGCAATGATTATATGTATGGACACTAAATATTGGTCTTTGTATCAGCACAGTGTACCTGATCAAACTTCAATTATTATCTTTTGTTTAAAGATTGTTATTCAACAATTATTATCTTTCGTAACTAGTAGATGTCATTATTTAAGTTTAGCATTCCATAAAAAATAAAGAAATAGATAAGATCCTTATGAACATATACAGGCACATTTCATATGGACATTAATCTTGTGTAGGAAGTGGTTTGTTTCAATTCTTAAATATGATGAGCCGTCCACATGAGTTTGAATATGTAAACAAATACTTGTTTTAAAATGTGAAAAGGAATTCCACTGATGAGAAATCTTTGTTATCCCATCTTTCCACAAAAAACATTTGAAATGTGCTTTTTGTACGTAAACCTTCTTCAGAGTTTGTATCCAAACGGTATGTACCCAGAATTATTTTATATAACAGCTTTGAAATTTCAAGGATACACTTTGTATGAAAAAGTAAATTTATTATCACTTTCGAGTCAAAATACTACAATTATCTTACAGTTCCAATTTACAGGCCTCTTCTTCAGTGACAAGAATTTATAACTTTCCTATAACAATCAATCAATTTGAGTTGTGCCAATGTGGACTGACTTGACCACGTACATTTAGGTTAGTCTTATTATGAACTTGACGAAATGTTTTATCATAATGTTCAGCTCATTGTTTGACAAGTTGAATGTAATCAAACAGATTTATTTTAGTTTTCTTGGGTACAAATTCACTTAGTATTTCTGGTACATTTTTGTTTTGGGTACAAAATCACATAGGCCCTACATTCATCCAGCCGACGTGTATACTTACTTTCATCCGTTCTGAAGATTGGGTAGGGGGAATAAACGTTTTAAAAACAATCTTTAATATTCTAAATTGTTCTTCTTGCAATGACAGACCAATAACAATATTATGTTATTATTGTGGCATATCAATATGTTATATCGCTCTCCGCTGCCGTCGTTTTCAGAAAATAATTTTAAAATCATCGAGCATGGAATCTTTTACGGTTTCGGATTTAGACAAAAAGGAGTGAAGACAATAAATAGTAAACAGTTGACGAAGAATAGTAAAGTATGTATTTTCTTTTGAATTTGAATCAATTTCGGATTTTGTTTATGATAGCTTATCAACTTTTGCATATGCGGTACGTGCTTCCGGTTTCAGAAATGATAGCTAAAATTGCAACTTTATTTTGATTATTTTTCGTAAACTGCATTATTTTACTATTGAATGATTTACCTAGAATGTATGTCAGTTCAGATTTTGCGTATCATCCAATATTTGTCCTTATTTGCTGTGTTTGTTGACTTTGTTCAACTAAACAAATCGCAAGTTAGGCCACGCCCAAAACGTGTCACTGACGTTTGTCGGCTTGTCAATGTGTCCGAAAGTTTATCAAACGAAATCATTCGCAAACTATATTGTTTTACAAAGATTTATACATCCGTGTCTATAATTCTAGAAAATTAAGTTAGATGTAACAAAATTATGGTAATAGACTTACGGGGTCACTATGCATGTGGAGTTGTTTGTTTACCGCCGTTGCCAATCGTACAAGTTACGTGCAATCGAGGACAGATTTTTTTGTTTATGATTGTTACATTGAAATCTGGTAATTTTTAAAAATTAAGGAACCTGAGTGTTTTCCTTTCGTAAGCAAAGAAACAATATGATCAAATATGAAAAATAATAAAATCATAATGAAAATATCGGACTGCACGCCGCTCAACGTGAAGTGCCAAAGGTCAACAATGGCTGTTTCTAGTAGTTGTGTGACGATACATTTGGTCGATACTTTTTTAACTCGCGATGTTTTCTTTTTGATGTAAATAAACTACTGAAAGTTTTAATATTTTTTAAACTGAGCAATTATGCATACGCAAAGCCTACTCGTTAAACAGTTATAGCGAGTTTCATCTGGGGGTGTCCTTCGACTATGCGCCTGTCGATTGGGTTCGACAGTAGCATTGAGAGCATTAATCTCTGTTGTTCCGGCATTGTGGTCTACATGGAAATGAAAACACATGTTTTATCGTGAAGAGATCACCCCTTTAAAAAAACATACAGCTGTATTACACATTGTTTAATACCTGAGCGTGTACTTTTGTCTACGGGAACAAGTTTCACTAAACAAAATAACGGCCTGTTCAACGACGTTGTGTGAACAGATGATAGATCACAGGAGCATATGCACACTCGATGACCCAAGCAACCTCGTTGCTAGGCTGACGTCACATGCATTGTTTCGCCGGTGGATATTGCAAAAATTGAGCCATCAACCCGTGATGACTAAATCCTCTACTCACTTTGACATATTTTGACAGCCAGTTTCTTACAGAAGTGCATATTTCCACCAAATTGTCCCACGGAAGGAGTGTGTGAGTATAGTTTTGCGTCACCTTTAAGCCAGGTTCACACAGTGCCAATTATGGGTCCCGTTTGAGATCAGACAGCGCTACGACACGAAAAGTAAAAAAGTCGGATTACTATCCTGAATGATCTGGAAGGTCCTATCATTGTCTGAACGCAGTCGCATACGTTCGTAACAAGAGTCCTACGGATCGGGAAAGGTCCAGAGAGGTCGGCCAAGCACTCCCGACAGTGTGGTGCGTCCCGTAACATTCGGGAAACTCAGCCGATTTTGTCTTGTCGGAATACAATCGTAACTATGTCGTGACAGATTCTGCTGTATCGGATCAAAATCGTAACAATTCTCTATGTTGTCTGGACGGTGTCCTGTGGATCGGGACGCTGTCGTGATGAACGGGCTTGAATTATCTTGTCGATTGAGTCCAGATTGCGTCCAGGTCTTGCCGAATGCAAACCGTCTTTGTCGGTTCACTGTCCGGTCACTGTCGGATCTCTGTCGGATCTTAATCAGGACGCTGTCGGGACAGATTCGGTCGTTTTGTACCATGCAGAAGATACAAATCGGATCAGATTCGGATTGAGAACGGGACACTCGGGACCAATTCGGCTGGAAACGGCTGAATCGGGACGCTTCCTGAACCATATCTGATTGTTTGTGAATTTCCCGCCACGAATCACAGGATCTTGATCAGACTTTGGACAAATTTTAATCGGGAATGGTCCTAATAAGGACGGCAGTAGAAACCCTGAATGTGTGACTGAGCCCTTAGCAATATTTCCACAATATCACGACGGGGGATGCCAGAAATGGGCTTCACGACATGTACCCATGTAGGTAATCGAACCCGGCGAGACGACCAAACGCTACTCACGAGGCTACTACCCGCAACTCCCTCATCCCCGGCAGGAAAGCAGATACAGTATGAAAACCAATAAACTCAATACTAGCATCCACAGATTTCGACTCCACGCATTGGAGTATTGGATGACTGCATGGTAGCAGAATAACAACAGTTTTACCAAAAGAATTCGGCAGATGTAAATGTCTAACAAAGACAACAAACCTCATATACTAACATCATCAGTATCGGAGAGTATTTCTGGAAATGGTTTGAACGCTCTTTAAAATTTATAGCCCGGGCTATTTGAAAAAAAATGTTCAAGAAAGAAAAATGCTTTATTCATAATTCAATGACGCCAAAGTTAATTTCTGATTCTTTAGGCAATAGCAGCCACGTTTGAAATAGAATCAGTTGTGCAAGTCTTTTATTGACACTTTGACGTTCGCAGAGCATATAGACATGGATTTTTTATTATGACATCTTTTAGAAATAGATCCGATTTTAAAGAGACTATGAAAACAACGTGGTTGAGCTGGGTGGATCAGCAGAAAGACAAATGTGTTTTGGGGCAACAATGTAACAATACAACAGTAGAAGTGTCAATTCCTGGGTAATGATGATTATAGTCCAACTGAGCATATACTGGACGGTAGATGCCTTTAACGCTGTCAATGACTGGCTTGTTTCTGATTTTTTCCATGTCATCCAACAACTGATGTAGTAATTCAATTTCAGGCAGCGTGTGGATCTACGGCCTCCACACTAAATACGACCCAACAGACAAGACTGCCGCCAACTACTGTGACAACACGTTTTACTTGTTCGCGTTCTGGTGCACCACGGCAAGCTACATCCTGATCGCAGTCATGGTCTTCATAGCCTGCTGCTGTTGTCGAAAATAGTCGACAACACTCATGTGCGGTAGTTGTAAATGGTTGACTTGTGTAATGAGCAGCGGTTACGGTGTTTGTATTTGAATATATGTCACATTATTTAAACGGCAAAGTCAAAAGTGTCCGTCCGTTGCAAGCTGGTTCAGTTTCGGAAAGAAATTGCACTGACTGGGACATCTTGATTGTAAATTAGCCGACAACCGCTTTTTGTCGGTGTCGGTGACAATTTTTATTGCGTTCTTGGAGGAGCTATACAAATAATATTTTTTATCACAGCTCATTTTTAGAGACAACAAGCATGTCCAGCCATCATTTTTGTCTTAAACCCACCCAAACAAAACTTAGATTTTTCTCGTGTTTGCAGAGACAACTTTCTTTAACACCTCACCCATCCAGGACCTTCATATCCTTACCGAAAATAGTTGGGAAACGATTTTAAAGAATATGTTTTGTACGTTTACTTACTCTTTCACTTATTCAATTCCAGCTGCTGTATTATGACTAGTATAGTCCTTGGTCACGTGAATACACACCAGGAAGTGATAGCTCTCACTCTGTAGCTGCTATGTCTAGAAGTGATTACAATGATGTTAAGACTAAGCATTTCCCATGGTCTTACTCTTTGTAGTATGTCTTGTTAAATGTTGATATAGGTGTGATAGAATTATACATCGTCATACCCCCGACCTGAAAGGGTGGGGTTTTATACGAGTAGTTACACCAGGGAATTCCGTCCGTCCTTCCGAGGACATTTTTTGTGCGACCTGTAAACTTGAACATTGCTGCTTAGATTCTTTTCAAATTTGGTGAACACTTTTTATACTAATGGGGGAGGTGCAGTGCGAAGTTTGGTTTCAATGTTTGGATTTTCGTACAAATACAGCTTTTTACATTTTTTACTTCGAATTTATTTACTTCAATAATTGTACGACCTAGAACTTGAAACCTGCCTACTGGATTCTTTTAGAATTGGTGGTATAGTTTCAATACCAATAGGAGAGGCTCCTCGCCAATTTTGTGTTCAATATTTATATTTTCTGAAACAAAACATAGCTTTTTCATACGTTTACTTTGGTTTTGTTTACTGAAACATTTGTGCAACCTATAACTAGAAATTAATTCAATGTTATTATCAAATTAAGGGAACTTAGTTTATTTTTTATATAGGTATTTTCTGAAAGAAATATGTTTTTGATGTTGTGAAATGAGAATTATTTTTACTTCAACATTTGAGCGACATGTAACTTGAAAAATACTTCTACTTCAACATTTGAGCGACCTGTAACTCGAAAACTGTTTCTACTTCAACATTTGTGCGACCTGTAACTTGAAAACTGCTTGATGTATTCTTTTCAATTGAGGGTACAGTTTCTATACCAGTAGAAGGAGAGGTACAGAATGATTTTGATAAGTGGATTTTCTTAGGAAATATTGCTTTTTTCATGTTTTGAACTCATGTGATTGTCAACTTTGTAGTACAAAGTCCCGTTCCACAAGGCGTCGTAGCACAACGACAGCCATTTTGAAAGTCAATGTTTAAGTATGGGAGTATGTATATCATGCGACACCTGAATATAATATTTTCTTCTTCTTCTTCTTTGTTACTTTTTCTTGTTATTTTGTTTTTACACCACATGAATATTCCAGATATTTCAATGAGTCCGTGGACACGAGGTCCCAGTTGTCCAGGGCGCCGTTATTCGCTGTGCAGCCTGAGAGTTGCGTCCCCGGGGCACACGTGAAATCTGTGATTATGGATTCGAATCTCGGTTCGCACTGATTATGTTTTAATTTTTGTCATCAAATAGAAACAATAATTTGAACATCAAGATCATAACTGATACACATAGTGACACTTCCATATGGTAAATGGTGTAATTAGCAGTCACATTCCATGCATCACAAGGTTGGGGTTTTAATGTTACTGCTGCCCTCACTGGAGCATCGTGACATCACAGTGATGTCATGTGTGACGTAGTCATAAGGTTTGTTCAAACAAGTAGACGTGGCAGGTCCTCCACACTACTCTTCTCTAAAGAAATAAATCTGTATTTAATAAAATAAATCACGTGTTAAGAGATGCTAATTCATAAAGAGTTAACTGTTAGTTAAGGTATTCGATGTGTATTGGGCAGTGTTGAAAACCATTCTTGTATTAATATCTACATCCTTCTGTAGTTTCATCAATCTTCACTGTTCAATTAACCTTTTAGATTAAATTTGATATTCACACAACCTGTCAACAAAATTCATCGAACAGGGGTATGTGTGTTCAAATGATCATACATTTGGTACTTATTTCATAAACATTTCATAATAGATATCAATCACCAGACAAACCATGTCAGTTTTAAAATATAAGCAGTAAGTTCAATCCAGTCAGAGGTCTCGAACACAATGATGTAATCAATCAGAGTGATCCAACACAATGCCAATCAATCAGTCAGATTTGTCAGACACAATAACACACAATCATTCCGACGTACCCGACACAATGACACGCAATCAGTAAGAGGGATCAGATACAATGTTACAATCGGCCAGACACAATGACACACAATCAGACAGGAGCGTCAGACACAATGCCACACAATCAGTAAGGACTGTGAAACAAACTGACACACACGCCAGAAGCATCCGGCACAATGGCACACAATAATTCCAGATATCGAACACAGTGACACGTTCTTAGATATGGGTATCGGACACAATAACACAATAACACTCCACTGGTCGAGCTGTCCGACACAACGACACACAATCATCCGACACGATGATACGCCAACTGTCAGACGGATAGAAAACAATAAAGATGTCCGGATACGACACTCTTCCGATACGATACTTTGTTCACGATACGATACTTACGAAAAATGCCACTAATTAAGTATCGTATCGTGAACAAAGTAAACACTATTAAAAGGCTCGAAACTTGCTGAATATTTGGTCTCATATTTGAAATACAAAGGTCTTACTTAAAACTATAGTTAATTTCAGATAAAACTGAAGTGGCAACACCAGTTTTTGCTCTCATTAAATAAAACTTCAAATTGTTTGCGAAATACATTAGATGTGCACCCGAAATTAAATAAATTAAGTTTGGATGAACAAGTCCATGTGTAAAACGACATAGGATTACTATGAATCGATACAGGTAAGTGTGTATCGCGTATCGTATCGTTTGAGAATATTAATCGATGTATTGGTGAACTGTGACATGGTTGCGCTGAACTCAGTATCTCGTGTGACCGCCCCGGGCAGCAATCACGGCTCTGCAGCTCCTCGGCACTGACTGGATAAATGTATTCTGCGGAATTCTGTGCCATTCTGCTTGAAACGCGTTGGACAGTTGCGGGAGTGTCTGTGGCGTGTTCTGACGTTGACGTACACGTCGATCAAGTTCATCCCAGTGGTGATCAATTGGGTTGAGATCTGGAGATCTCGACAGCCAGGGAAAGAGGTTGGTGTGGGCATTATGGAGGTAGTCTACCGTGACACTAGCTGTGTGCGATTTGAGCGTTGTCCAGTTGGAACAGCTCACTCTGGCGGTCAATGATTGGAAGAAGGTGGGGTTGAAGAATTTGGTTCATGAAGCGATTTGCTGTCAAATTTCCCTGAACCACAACCATGTCAGATCTCGCGGCGTAGGCTATTGCCCCTCACACCATGACACTACCGCCACCGAAATTGTCGAATTCACGTACAAAATGCGGGGCTTCCATCTCGCCGGTGAAGAAGAAATCGTCATTCATCGCTAAACCACACTCGGTATAGCACCAACGCAAGCGTCGCTGTGTATGGATTGGTTGTAAAACAGGGACGATAACTGGTCTACTGGGTCGGATTACAGCCTCGCGAAGATGGTTCCTGATAGTCTGGTCCTCCAACCAAGGATGCGTCCTGCAGCCTCCGTAGCTGTGGCATTGAGATGACGTTGGTGGAACAGTCGAATGTAGCGATCCTGTGCAGGGGTGGTAACTCTTGGTCGGCCGGTTCTTGGACGGTCCGCAGTGGAATTGAACTGCGTTTATCAGCCCCAAAGGCGGCAAATAGCGATGTGGTGGACGTTGAAGTGGCGTGCAACAAAAGACTGCGCTTCCCCTCTTTGGATACGTCCTATGGCGATGTTCCGATCGGCAGCGCTGGGTCTCGGCATTTTAGAACTTGAAAAATGTTGACAATTGAATGACAAAATATTGCATTATTCTTGCCCATTTATATTCACGTCCAGCACTGAACAGTAGATATTTTCTAGCTGGCAATATTATAATCTGTTGTATACTTACACCTGTACGTGAAAAGGAGAGGTGTGTCTGTCAATATCTCCAAGTGTACAGCAAAGGTTAATGTGTCAGTCACATATTTCATGTAGTATGATATGCTTAGATGTTCATGTTACCAGTGACGTGCATGTACACCTTACGCTGAGTGAGTGAGTAAGTATGGTTTTACGCCGCTTTTAGCAATATTCCAGCAATATCACGATGGGGGACACCAGCAATGGGCTTCACACATTGTACCCATGTCGGAAATCGAACCCGGGTCTTCGGCGTGACGAGCGAACGCTTTAACCACTAGGCTACCCGACCGCCCCACCTTACGCTGAACACATTGGTAATTACAGTGTACAAGCATTAAAGATTGTATGAGCCGAAACCTCAGTCATTGGCATTTGCTTTGTGTGATACTAAATATAAGATTTAAATAGTTTCATAGAAATGATAAAGGGGAGGATATTGCGAATTTTATTTCGATTTCATATATCTGATCTCTACAAATCTTAGTCTTAAAAAGAGCGACGGGTGTAGCACGGTGATCTAAGACGCAAGGATCCGCAGTCCGATTTTGATCCAAAGTCCTGGAAACTTGGGTGCCATTCAAGTCATCTATACAAACAAAGTATACATAATTTGATCCAGATGACATATAGCGTCGAAAAGGTTAATTTTTTATGCATATAACCTGAAAGTTATTGTGTTTCAGCATGAATTAAGTAACTCCCTTGATATGACTTTGCAAATGTTATTTTGAACAATTTGTTAATTTATACGCCATTAAGACATTGTCTGGCTCTTCGTCACTACATTCTTCCATATCTGAGCAAAAGGTTATGTCAAACGTAACAATTCCCGAACGGAACGGCCTGGGTACGCAAACCGATCTCCTTGTTTCAGTCAATATCACCAGCTGAATATCCTCTGGGCAAGGGTTGTTCTGAGTCAGCACGCCTGTTGTGTCCCAGGATTTTCTGAGATTACCAAACCTGTGATACCCAGACCGAGGTAGCAGCTCTTAGAGGACACGATGGCACTGGGTTGCTCGCATCATACGACAAAATGTTAAAAGATGGTACTTGTTGTTACCCTGTCTGGCGCTCGGCTTTAAGGGGCTAAAACAAGGACTGGTCGGTTTAAAATGGTTTAATTTGCCATACTGACTTCAGTAAATGCGTGATTTCATAAAAAAACCCATGAACATGCCAAAATGTCAAATTACAAATCAATAGCGTGTGTGTCCACCTCTGGTTGCGATGGAAGCAACACATCTTCGTCTCATGGAATGGACCAGGCGTCGCACAAAGTCCTGTGGGATATCTGTCCATATCTGCTGGAGCATGTTTCGAAGTTCCTGGAGTGTCTGTGGAACACGTGGTTGACGTCGAAGACGACGATCCATCTCATCCCACATGTGCTCGATTGGTGAGAGATCAGGGGAGCGAGCCGGCGAGGGGCTGACATTTACGTTGTTTTGTTGAAGAGAATCCTGAACAAGTCGAGCAATATGAGGCCGGGCGTTGTCATGTTGAAAGGTAAAGCCTGGGCCATGACGACGCAAAAACGGTAGAACAACAGGGCCGACGATCTCGTCGCGGTAGCGCTGTCCATTGAGATTTCCCTCTACCACTATCAAACGGGTCCTCTGTCTTGCTGTAATCCCACCCCATACCATAACGCTGCGCCCCCGAACCGATCTTCTCCCATGACACAATGCTGTCTGCACCACTGTAGACGTGCTTGACGGTGGTTTCCTGTCAAAATGTGACGTCTGGCGGGTCTTCTGGCGACAATCCCTGCACATCTGAGGCGACGACGTACGGTTTGTGAAGATATTCGTCGAAGGCCAGGGATTCTTCTTGCAGTCACTGTTGCTGGCTGGAATCGATTTCGTGGGTGTGTTGTTCGAATCCAGTTGTCTTGTCGATTATTGGTTACGCGTGGCCTGCCACTCTGAGGATGGTCTCTGACTGCATTCGTCTGTTGCCAACGTTGCCATAAACACCAAATGGTGTTTCTGTTGACGTTAAATTGTCTTGCAACATCACGTTGACTCGATCCTGCTTCAAGCATACTAATAGCTCGCAGACGCTCATTTTCGGACAGGCGTGGCATTTCGTAATGTGGAATAATTGCGTATTTTTGTTGTTTTTCTGAGTGGTTGTTGTCAGCACGATGCTAAACAATGCATATTGAATCCCCTTAACACACATGTTTTTACACCCATTCTTGAGTAGTGAAATGCATGGGGCTTGCTTAAAAGTCAACTTTTGCATGGAATGCATGCTTTTCTGTAGCAGTTGCGTTTTTGTGACT